AACTGTTTTTTTTTTTATACCTGTACTGTAGTTATTTAGTCTTCACTCCCCCAATTAGATATTTTCTCAAAGTTTTGTATAATATGTTCATATTGAACCAATGTTAAGTTTTTTTTTTAAATTTTGCTTTTTTTTAGGGTTTCATTGGGCTTCCTGGCGTTTCTGGTCCACCAGGGCTGGAGGGCGAGAAAGTAAGTGTTTTTATTACACGCATTTAAAGACAGGAGACTTTTTTTTTCTAGGTCTGTCATTCAATTTGAATAAATATTTTCTCTTTCAGGTCAGTTGAGATTAGCTTATTGTTATTTTTATTACCAGAATAATAATTTTTATTTTGTATTTCTTTTACAAGCTTCATGTAATAAGATTACTGTAAACATGTGAGACAGCCCAGATAATGATGTCATTTTTATAAGATAATTCAGTGTTTAATTTAATTGAACGTCACAATGTATTTTAAGGCAACACCTTAAATAGACTGCTTCTTTTTTTTAAAACACCAGTTATGAGAGAATTTTTGTTTTTAATCATTCACAAACTAAGCAAACAATAAATTTTGCCCTCAACCAGGCTGTATAATTTTGGGTGGCCCAAAGATTAAACTATTTTGTGAGGGAACAGGATTGCCTCTGGGAATTGAGCTACAGCAAACATTACAGTTAACATGCATTAGTGGCCTGACTTGTTCAAATTACTCGGCAAGTAAATGGGCAGGTAGCAGTGGCACTAGAGGAACTGGCTTACTTGACTGACAAGTATGTCGCACAAGTAAGTGTTGTCAAAGAAACCGCTCAGGAATCCCTTGAATGAAGTCCGGTTGATCTAGACTTTATCTGAAATATTGTCCTGTAAGACATGACTAACAAATTTCACCACTTAACACTTTAGTCAAGGCCAGTAAAACCTACACACTATATGGTGATGTTTAATTTGTTACTAGATGTCCAGTCAGGCTTGTATCATGTGCAAGACTGTGCAAGAATATGAGGTCGATATTTTTCTGGAACAGTCAGCTGATTTAATCTGTGCACTCAAGTCAGGAGACAAAGACCTAAACAACAGAGCAAAATGCCAATTTCAACAAAATATTTCACTGTGGATATGTATCCATTTTTGTCAAAAACAGAAAAAAAAAAGCTTTTTATTGATAGATCGTTATGTTGCACTTTGATTGATAACTCTATTTATGTCTGTTTTACAGTAGAGTTGTTTATATAAAGTGTGGCCATAAATGACCGAGACAAATTGACCATTTTACAAGCCCATGTACTTATCATTGCATAGGTACCAAACTAATGGGGATGTAACCTCAGGTAGAGAAAAAAACTTGCACCAGCATAAATCTGAACAAATAACAGAAAGTCCTAACTGCTTAAATCCTTTTCTTGTGTTATTTACTGTACTTATTGATGTTAGTGGAATAGATCAGATGAATGTGAAGTTTATTTCTAAATGCAACCAAGAATACCTCCATGATTCTATGATTATATTTTTTCCCTCTTGCATCCCTATCTTAATTGGTCCTCCAATTCTTCCTCCACCCCACGATAACCAGCAATAGAGTAGCACTAAGAATATTAACTGTTTGACCAAATACCCAAAATAGATCTTAATTGTATTGTGGGTCATACAATCTTTTTAGAACTGGTGGGAACAATGATGTATATTTGAAAAAAAAAAAAAAAACACAAAAAATTATGAAGGCTTGTTCATGTGACACATTCTTCTCACTTATCTGGAGCTTTTTTTCTTCCTCTATAAAATATGATAAGTTTGCTATGTCACACTAACTACAGAACCTATATGTATCTTGAAGCATTTATTTTTTTCTATTATAGGGATATACGTGTTAAATCTTTTCTAAAACCTTATTCTTTCTTCACTTGCTTTGATATTATCCAGCCTAAGAAAATCAAAGATCCATTGCTCAATCTGTTCCTGTCTGTTATTTTGCAGTATATTCGGACCTGATCAAATCCTTCTTGTTTGATAAACAAAATGCTTTTTGAAATCCTCATATAGTAGTTATTTATGCTATATGGAGCATTTATCATTTAGGATACTTTTCTTTACCTTTTTAATTATGAAAATTAGAAATTTCCCAATGTCGGTTCTTTAATATAGAGGGTTTGAATAATTTTTTGGCTTGTTTGTCTTTTGCAGGGCATTCCTGGTCCTGTTGGAAAACCTGGACCCAAAGGAATACACGTAATACTGACCAAGTTTTGTTTTTGCGTGTTTTTTTTTTTTGTTTGTTTTTTTAATCTTCTGTAAGCATATGTTTGTGAATCAGTGAAGTTCTTTCTATGTAAGCACCTAATTGAATAAAAAGATTGAGGAACCTAAAGTCAATACATCCCTGCCCTGTAGCACTGAAACAGTTTGCATATGCAAATAGAACTAGAACTAGTTAAAATAGTTACATTTAATAAGCACAAGCTTTAATGGCTCAACTGGAAAAGAAATGCTGCAGCATTATGATAAATACAAACACATATTCTTGGTTGGTTTATCATTGTGGTTGATGCATTAAAGAAAAGCATAGCTAAAGGTTTCTGTTTTATTTCAAGTTCTTGTTTTAAACATCTAAATCTACGTGACATGTTCATTTTTCTTCCCCGTACTGAATAGTTGCCAGATTAAGTCTAGGCTTCTTGGTCACAAATATTTGTTCAGAACTGAAACATGAAGTCATCAATAACTCATTAAATGTTTCCAAATATTATGACCAAGTTAGACATTTATTTCCTAAAGCAGCATTTTTTTTCTACCCACTAAAATATAAACTAAAATCAAAGGTTGGGTATATTTTCATTTTATGAGATTATGCCCTTGTACTCAAAATTATTGAGCCTCTCTTAATTAGTGGTGCCAATAATTGGTTGGGGCAGCACACATCTGGTTGCACACATCCTGTGTCTGTCATTAATTAAGCATCAGTTTTACATAGAGTCCATGTTAAATCATAAAGGAGGTAACATGTCTGATGTGATGTATAGTGTTTACACCGTATAACTTATACAAAGACTAGCTGAAATTACTTAAAAGCTGTACATTTTACAAATGCTTCTTGTCTTGATGTGCACATTATAAACTGAGAATATACAGTATCCACAAATGTGTAGTTTTTTTTAGGTTTTTAAAAGGTAATATGGCGTGTGTCTTTCACAGGGTGTGGTAGGAGATGTAGGAGAGAGGGGAAGTCCTGGTCCAGATGGCAACCAGGTGAGAACAATGATCCTTCAAGCACCTGTGGATAGGTATTAAATATTGCCGCCGGGCTCGGTGGCACCGGTGGCAACAAGTGAATGGCAACAAGTGAGACCCAGGGCAGATGTGGCTACAATGTAGCTTTCCACCAACAGTGTGTGGATGAATGGATGAACGGCTGAATGTAGTGTAAAGCCCTTTGGAGGCCATTTACTAATTACCAGAAACCACTCTTTTTTAAACATAGGTGAAATTTAAAAAGTACTATTAAAGACATACCAATTCTTAAAAATACAAAGTACAGCTAATTAGATAAAATAATCAGAAAATGAAAAAAAGTTAGTACTGAACAACGTTTCTTCCGTTGGTTTCGGATGTGCACCAGCCTGGATTCATAATTCAGTGTTATTGCTATTCTGCATTCATCAGCTTCTGTTCAGGATATCTTTCCCATTTTTTAGAGTAAAGTTATGAAATAAGAAACATTGTGTTTAAGTGTATGTTTTTGAACCTTTTCCGAGTGGTGAATTTAGGATGCTGCTGTGTTTTTTTTTTTAACAGGGGCCTGTTGGTGGGTCTGGTATTACTGGCTTTCCTGGTTTGAGGGTGAGTCTGATCTTCTGTTCTTTTTAATGTTGAAGTATTGTAGCTCACATGTCAGGAAACCAAATTTAAACATTTCTTATTTTTTGGGGAGGTCTAATATTGAACTTAACTAATTTTCCTGTTTTGTGTAAGGTAAGATTCAATATTTTATTCCTCCTTGTTAAATGCTAGAAAGATAAGAATATTCTCATTAATCATCTCTTTACCTTTTAACCTGGCTCTTTATCCAACATTAAACAGAAAGCAATGAAATATTTGCTTAGGATAGAATTTAGGGATTCCTTTTGTTAGAAATTAAAGAATGTTTAGTAACACCTCTTTTGACCTGGAAGAAATACAATATTTATAGTTGGACAAAGGGATTTTTGTGCTTGGCAGAGGATGATCAGCCACATATAGTGTATTAAGGAGCGATAGCAGGAGGAGCCATACTGCCATACTGAGCCATATATGCTGAGAGTGAAACATCAGTGAGGGAAGTGAAGCGCAATCAGAGCTAAGCCGCAAAGAGGCACAGCTGGAAGAACAGATTTTGTCAGAGTTGAGCATGCAGTACTGGACCATTGCGGCTTATTTTCACCCCTACCCCTGCTGCCATGATCCATCTGTGGTCATGCAGAAAGTGCAGCGCTGCACACCAAACAGAACGCAGCAACACGGCTGATACTGCTTAATTTGTCTAGCAGATTACAGTACAATGATGCATTTTAAATATCTGAACATACACCCGTTAAATTTTTTATCTAGACCCGTCTCGTTGACTAGTTTTTCGTCACCAAAGATCCACATTTAGCTCATCAGTTCTCGTTATCGTCACGAAAAAAAAGGAACGTCAAGGAAATAATTTTGTCATCATCATCGTTGACGAAAACCGCACTGCTAAGATCACTACATCTTTACTTAATTTTTGACAGCCCTGATGAGGAAGATGTAAACCTCATAAGTTTCTAATTCAAAATATTTTAAATTAGAGACACTGCTGTGGATACATTTTAAGGAAACACCTCAAACACTTTCCTCTTATTTGAAATAATGTAAAAAAAAGTAAGCAAATAATTAATAGAAGAATGTTGGACCTACACAACCCTGGTTCCCCACCAATGATGGTGGTAATAAATTGTTTATAATTTTTACATTCTTGAAATACTTTTTTACTTACCAACAGAAACTTTCTCACATGAGGGCAAGCATGAGCAAGAGAAGAAGCTAAAGTGGGAGCTCTAGAACTTCATAAAGTGGAAATTACACAATAAACGAGAAAAGGAAATTTACTATAATAACATCAAGTTTGATTAAAGTGATTATAGTAAGTAAGTAGGAATAAGTGCTGTTTTAAGAAAAATACCTTGTTAGAGGGTAGGGCATTATGAAATTGTAGAATTTTTTTGGCAGAATCTTGGCTGTGATTAAACCACAACACAAACATAACAAGCGAAGTCATTGATGGTCATTTTGTGACAGAGAGATTGGATCTCTCTCCACTGTCTTCAGCAAAGATAGAGGAAACCAGGGGAAATAGAGAAAAGTGCTGTGGAGAAGTTCTGTCACGGTTTGTTTGGAGGTTTTTGTGAGGACCCAAATGCAGAGGCTGAGAAGCAGGGGTGAGTTCTTCGATGTTTTGATGGGATAACACAGGTAGCAAAAACAGGAATCCAAAAATCCAACATAAAAATTAAACACTAACCAGAACCATGGAGACATCAGGGGAAAACTATCACAAGGAGCCAGGGTGAGACAAAGTAAGATGAAAACAGCATTGAGAAACCAGCTACGACAAGGAGCCAACAAGGAGTGACAGCAGAGGGAGAGAATAAGTAACTGACTGAGACAAAGGCAGGGCTAACGAGCTGATAAGGAGCAGGTGTGAGAGGAGACAACGAGGGAGCCAAGGGGAAAGGAACACACACACAAGAGGGCAACAGAGGACAACAAAAAAACCTGAGAACTAACATAAATCTAGAAACAACAACAAAACAGGAATTAAACCAATAAAACTAGGAAACATGGAGCAAAGTAAGCATAACAGAACCAAAACCATGACAAGTTCAGTAGCCCTGAGCCGTTCCAGTTTGAGCCGCTGGCTCAGAGACTTTGTGTAGCTACCCCCTTTTCCCATATATGGTTGTTCTAATGTTCTAATGGAGACTGTAAATAAGTATCTGAACCAATCTTGTTAAACAGAAATTAATAAATTTAATGTTCTTTGACCCAGTGATACCACATGAATGTCATATTATTATCTTAGATTAGTTAGACATTCATTTTTTTCAAAGTTTGGTGCATTTTATATTTTCTAATAAGTCCTCTGTTCAAAATTAATGTTATTTTCCAATAACTTATAGGTCCTGTGACTGACAAAAAACTATCATAAAATAAATATAGTACTTGACTTGTTTGTATCCAATTTTAATGCATTGGCTTTTTTCATAAACCAAAAATGGAGACAACCGTGATTTATTTTTATTTCGCATTATAACAAAATCACTCAATTTATTATCAATTCCTAAGCGAATCACCACTGCTCAGGGCAGAGCTGCTGACATCAGTTCTCCTTAATTACATCACATTCCCAGCTAGGCCAAAAGCAAAAATCAGATGCAGTAACATCGTTTTGACCTTGGGAGGGTGCCAAACAGACAATTTTAGAAACAAAAACTGGAAGCAAAAACTGTGCAGTAAATGATCAAAATAATGCCTGGGACCATTAGACAGCAAATAAGATGCCAATTCACACAGTTACTCAGCAAAAAAAAAGAAAGAAAAAGAAAAAAATTGATTTAGGGGTTAGTAGTCGTTTAGATAAAACAGTTAATTCTAAATTTCCAGTGTAAAAAAAATAAATAATTAAATTTTCAGTGTAACGTTGTAATTGCAATTGAAAATAAAGTAAATAATTGGTTCATTTTAATGCTTAAGGTTTTTATAACTGTGTAGCTCATACTCCGATAGTATTAAAGCTGATGGATGAGTGTTACTACAGACCATAAAATAGGTATTCATTCAAAGAGGACTCCAGATGCTCATATCATGTAAACTGATACAGTTTTGAACGACACCTATCTTGTACCATCGTTTCAAACTTCATTTACACCAATGGTTTGTTGTCACAGAATTGGATTTATTGGGTTTTGTGTGTCCAGATGGAGCAGGAAGAGAGAAACTAGACATATCAGACCAACAGGGTTTTCATTGTCTTGTAATAATTTATTACTTAGTAACTAAAGGGTATATCTTCCTAAACATGACAATTGCTTATTTTTTTTATTTACTGTTTCAATCTAAAGTTGTAAGCTGTGTTTGGGTTAGATCCAACTCACTTCACATGAGCTTTCTGTCCATGGTCTATAAAAACAGTATATAACACAGATGTATTGACATGCATACCGGATTTTGCTGTGTTACTGCATGTTCACCAATTGACCTATTGTATGTATTGTCATCATCCCCCCTGCAACCCCATACAGATGGAGGGATGATACAAGTTAAAAGATTTAATTCATTATTCTTTAATAAAATCAGATATTCTTGCCTTACAGTAAGAAGAAAGTGTATTAGTTAGATTGTCGATTTTGCACTTTTCCCACCTGCAAAGTATGGGGAGATCCTTTATTTTTATCGTAGGTACTTTTTAGTTCTGAGTGACTAGATCTAATAAAAAAAATCTTTATGAAGAAATTAGAATTAGAAGAAACTAGTTTACAGCATGGTATAAGTATTATGTTACCCTCTAACAAGAACTAATTCAAAGTCTCAAAGCCCTGGTAGATTTTCTTTTAGAAGCACTTCTATTCTCAGTAATTTCCTGTTTTAATTACACCTGTTTCAATTAATTTTCTATAAAAAAACATCCGTCCACATACTGAATCATAATCAATCCATCACAATGATCAAGACCAGAGGTGTGTGAGGATATCAGTGATAAAACAGTAAACCTGCACAAGGATGGGATGGGCTACAGGAAACTTCTTGAGAACTCAAAACAATAAAACAAATGAAAGAAGTTCAACATGGCTGTAAATGTCCCTCTGTCTGGGGTTCCATGCGAGATCTCACCTTGTTTGGTATCACTGATCAGGAGGAAGTGAGTGGATCTACACAGAACTACACAGCAGGACCAGGTGAAAGACCTGAAAACCTTGGACCAAAATCTCAAACACCATTAGTAAAACTATGACACCATAGATTAAACTCCTGCAGCACTAGCAAGGTCCCTCTACTCAAGTCAGTGCAGGTCCAGGCACGTCTGAAGTTTGCCAATGACCATCTGGGAGATTCAGAGGAGGAATGAAAGAAAGTAATGTTGTCAGATGAGACAAAACTACAGCCTTTTGCAACACTTGATGTGTTTGGAGGAAGAAGAAGAAAGATGATTAAAAACCCAAGAGCACCATCCCAACCATGAAGAACGGTTCCCTTTTGTACAAAGGGAACAGCACCATATTGAGGGAAAGCTTTGAATTTGTTTAAGTTAACATTAGTTATTGCTAATTGTTTTGGTGAGGTTGTGGAACAGTTTCAATGTGAGGTTAAGCGTCCACAAATAAATTCCTGGATATTTTGAGGCTTTTCACCATCTTTACCAGAAATTCTAAAACATGTGGTGGGTTCTCTGTCAATTTCATGACACCACCTTTATTATAAACGGCTGTTGCTAGTGTTGAATAGAGATAAGTATGGTATGTTTACATCGTTAACGTACATTGTGGTGTTCCTGCATCTCCTGGCTGCTTTTATCCCATCCTTTCAATTGGTTTAGATGTTTTGGGTTGTACAGAAGCAACCAGATGCATTCAAAACAGGATAATAAATGGATATAAATGGATAATTATGAATCTTAACTCATTTTGAAAAAGGCTAGAAGTGGTTATGGTATAATCAGAGGTGGGTAGAGTACCCAAAAAATTTACTTAAGTAAGAGTAGCACTACTTCAATTTTATTTTACTCAAGTAAAGTAAAAAAGTACTTGAGTACTGAGTAACTGTTGTATTATAACATCAGATTAAATATAAATGATGCTGGCAAACAGACTTTATTTGCACATTCTGGCATTTTAAAGACTCAAATGCCTAAAGAATACAAATAAATGTCATGATTATAACAGAATAAACTGATGCAGAAGAAATACTTTTACTTTATTTTTACATAAAACTTCGAAAACCAATCCCTACAATGAGAACTGTATATATGTTAGGACAGGGTAACGAACTTCCACTGTTAATATCTACTGTTTTCTGCATTTTTCTACTGTTTACTGAAATTACGGAGGACAAAGTAGTCAGAGCTTTTACTCAATTAGGAGAAGCGATACTTTACAAGAATAATACTTAAGTAAAAGTAAGAAGTACGGCACAGTAAACTTACTCCTAAATTTATTTATTTTTTTTATTGTTACTTAAGTAAATATAAATGTAACTCATTACTATCAGACTCTTGGCATAATTCAATTTACATGGCATAGTACTACATAATCTCAAGTAAGCTCTTGGCCTGAAAATTAAGGGGATGTATTACATTAGTTTTTAAAAGCAGATTTCATTGTTTCCTTTTTCCAACAGGGGGATCCTGGACCAGAAGGACTAAGAGGACTGCCTGGTATGACAGGACCTCAGGTAGGCTTCATCCTGTCAAATTTTTGTTGAATGTTTTACACATCTACTTCAATACTATCTTATAAAAAGGGTATTTGTGGTAAAGACCATAAGATTTTAAACAATTTATAAGTAAAACAAATAACTGGACAATTCGAAATCCTTACTCCAGTGTCATCTTTACTCTTCGTTCCTTACATTTTATAATTTGGTATAATTTTTTGTTGCAGGGACCAGCAGGACACGTCGGGCTGCCTGGATTGAAAGGTGATAAGGTGATTTAAATATTCATATTATTGATGTGAATATATTTACTGTGTCACTGATCGATATCATGTATTTTTACTTTATGTAGCTACACAATATCTTGGTAACATTTTGGTAGCACTTCTACCACAACCGTAAAAAAGCTAGAAAAGTAAATATGTGCAATTACCTCCAAAGGTCATGACCTTCAAAACGATTTCAAACTGAGAGCACTTGAAGGTTTTATGGAAAATAATTTATGTTTTAAGACCTATTTGGCTGTACATGTTATTTCTATTTGTTTAGAGGGTTTTGTGGAAACAGAGGATTCAAATCACCATAGTTTAGTGGAGTGTAGTACACATACTTTAAATGTCAAAATTGTGTATATTTGTAATCTTTTTCTATTATAATTAATATTGCAGGGAAGTGTAGTGTTATATCTTGTGTGATGCTATAAAATCTAGGGTGAAGTGGGTCAAAGGGGTGAGCCAGGAGAGATGGGCTTCCAAGGTGACAAGGTAAGAAATGACAATTTTATCACTTATGGAAATATATAACTTAGTCTTACAAAGTGATAGGATGTTGGCTAGGAATTAATTTTGTTTTCCTTAACATATATATATATATATATATATATATATATATATATATATATATATATATATATATATGTTAGGAAATGATGAATCCAAACAAGATGAGAGATGTGTGCTCATATAAAATCAGATGTTCTTTCATTAATCACAAGGTCATCAGATAATACACATCCAGATGTGTACTCTGCTGTAATGCTACATTCTGAAGAGATATTGTCTATGTCTGCATGTTTTAGGGTGCTGTTGGTGCTCCTGGTCCAACTGGACCCAGAGGGAAACCAGGGCCACCGGTATGTTTAAGTTTGTTCATATCTTTGTCAGGAATAGGGTTCATTTATTGTGAGCAAATGTAAAGTCGGATTTTATACCCAGTAGGGAAGTTTTTTATGGACATCTGTAGCTCTCTATGCATCATCCAGGGATGTCTGTGAATACCTAAGTGTATCAGCAAGTTCAGGTCGCATGATGTAGACAGAGAGCAGCATCTGCCCCTGTCTTCCTAAGTCCACAAAGCATAATAAATGAAGAAAAACACTCAAATTCATATTGGAGATACCTGATTTAATTATTACAATAAGATGTGACAACCAGAATAGTATTTGGTTAACAATGCACACAAAATAAGTTTTTCACTGTTAAAAATCACTAAGAAACAGTCAGTCAATAAAAGGCATTGGAAGTTGAGATTTATATGCAAATTTAACAATATGAGTACCCTGAAATGACATAAGAATGTCTGTAGTTTATTTATTCACATTATTAGCATACCTGTTTTATGTATCTTGTTTTATTTATCTGACCTAATAAGCAAGCTAGCCAATGAAAATGTGTTGTTTAAAGGATACAAAAAGAATGACAGAATTATATACCTTAAAAAAAGAAATTGAATGACAGAATTATATAGCATTAAAAAAAAATTAATTGACAACTTGCAAAGTATAAAGATGGGTAACTTTGTTCTTATTCTGCTTTGAAAAACAAAATTTGTACTCTGTGTACTTTTTTAACCAATATTTGTGTCAAACATCAATGTAAAAAAAAAAAAAAAAATACCAGGACTGCATAGTTTATTTTTTGTTAAACTTAAATTCTGTCTGATTTTTCACTAATAGTATGGAAACATGAATTAGCTTTCTTCATTCAGCTTTATAGTGGATCCATAATGAATATATCATGATGCATACCATTTGTTTGCTTTAAAGGGTAGAATTGGAGACATTGGGATACAAGGACCACCTGGGCCACCAGGACCAGAGGTAGGAACTGAATCGGATATCATGTTAATGACATGTTACATAAGCAGCTTTAGATGTCTGCTGTTTATATTTAACAACAGTGTTTAAGCTTTTTGTAATAAAAGTAATTAAACACATTTTTATATTCTCCCCGATACATTCCCTTAAAATTTTTTAAGTATTTTTTTATTTCATTTTATTGAATTAAGGGCTGCACAGTAGGGCAGTGGGTAGCACTGCTGCCTTGCAGCAAGAAGGTGCCAGGTTCGATTCTGGGCACATTGTCTTTCTGCAAAGAGTTAGCATGTTCTCCCTTTGCATGTGTGGGTTCTCTGCGGGTAATCCAGCCTCCTCTCACAGTCCAAAAACGTGACTGTTAGGTTAATTGGCTTCTTTAAATTCTCCTTTAGTGTGAGTGTCTGTGTGAATGGTTGTTTGTCCTGTTTGTCTCTGTGTAGCCCTGCGATAGGCTGGCGACCTGTGCAGGGTGTACCCAGCTTCTCGCCCATTGACTGCTCTAGATAGGCACCAGCACCCCTCACAAACCCACCAGGGATAAGAGTGACAGAAAATGGATGGATGGATGGATGGATGGATGGATGGATGGATGGATGGATGGATGGATGGATGGATGGATGGATGGATGGATGAAATAATTAGAGTAAATGTTTCCTATAGGGTAATATTTAGAAATGGATATCAGCTGCGCTAAAAATGTCTGCTTTTTTGCAACATAAAAAAATGTTTACACGAGCATTTGTCCTTTGCTTGTATACAAGTTTCATTTTAGAATAAAAGAAAATTTTAATATGTGATATGTGTTAACCAGAACACAGTCTACCTTGTGAAGTGAGAATTCAGTTGTTTCAAAAAGACATTTTTTTTCTGGGTTCACATATAAACTGCTGTTTAACATATTAAGTTAAGTAAATCTTCGCGGTTGTATTTTTGTGTCGGAACATAAAAAAATGAATTTGCTAGAAAAAAATGCTAGAGACCTAAAAGCATTGCGAAGATTTAAAAGGCAAATTGAGCTTGCATGCAAAATCACATTTTAATTTAAACTGCAGTATCATATCTTCAGTCCCACTCTTCATTTATTTGTGATTAGGCAGATTTAATTTAATTTCAATGCAGTAAGAACATGTAATGTTCTGAACTATTAAAATATTAATCAGTTACTGTACATTTCAGGTTTTTAGACATTTTTTTTTTCCCCTGTTAGCTCAGGGAAACATAGAATAAGCAAGTTTCTGATGACCTAAGGGATCTACGTGATCATACTTATAACATAGAAATGTATTTCTGTCAAGGGTAAATTCTGGAACTGGGTGTAACACAAAAGTCAGTAAACTAAAAGATGATGTCAGTAGAAAAAATATAGTTTATTCACAATTTGCAGGGGTCACAAAAAAAACAGCAAAACAGGAAAGCTTTAAGCCTCAGAGTCTCCAAGGCCAAAACAACCCCCCCCCCCACCCACCCCCGCACACACACACACACACACACACACAAACACTTATAAAACAAAATACTTTCTAACACAGAAATGAAAAGAAAAAGAACATAATCCTGCTGGCTAACCACGAAACAAGGAGCAAACAGTTAAACAAAAATGGCAGAGAACCCCTCCCTGCTTCCACTGTGATCAGAAAAACAAAACTTTAGTTAGCCAATAGTCTAACGTGAACACACAGTAACACTCAGCTCATAGACAAGATCACTTCAGATTAAGGCCCAGTGTATAAGAGAAAAAAGGGGCATGACATCTCAGGGTTGAAGCTCTTTATGAGGTGGCTGACGGGCTTCAACACATTGCAGCTCTAACAGCCAGGTAGACCTCAAACACAAAGAGAGAGCTCTCTCATGAAGAGAGCTCCTAGAGGTCAGTGACCATAACATGAAGTATCTTTGGGTCCTGTACATCACTAAGGAGAGAATGGAGCAGGAGATCGATAGACGGATCAGTGTGGCTGCTTCTATAATCTGTTCTGTTCTCGTAAAGAAAGAGCTGCGCGGATGGTTCATCAGAAGCAGCTGAAATTAGCTTCCTCCGAAGTGTGGCTATGCACTTCATTAGAGATGGGGTGAGGAGTTCGGTCATTTGGCCCAGAGTATAGTAGCTTCTCGTCCTGATCAAGAGGAGTCCGTTGAGGTGGCTCAGATATCTTTTTCAGATGCCCCCAGGGCACCTCCCTCCAGAGATGTTCTACCAGGAGGAGGCCCAGGGGATGGCCAAGGACACACCAGAAGGACTATAGTGCCTTCACCATTGCTGCTCAACAGCCTTGGTCTTTTGAAAGCCCGAGTGGCTTTCTCATACACATTTACCTGGATAAATTCAGTTTGCCAGAAGTTTACTTTCCTGGGGCTTTGGGGTCGGTCTCTCTCTGTCTGTCTGTCAGTCTATCTCTTTCACATACTGTATGTGGCATTAATAAGGCATTACTGCCACCAACTGGGATGGAATCCACTGACTAAGCTTCTACTTGATATATATCTGTGCTTATGTGACATAAATAATCATTTTGACTAAAACATTATCAGTTTATGCTGTAGATGTATGAAATCAAAGAAAACAACTGTGTAAATCAGTTCTTTTGAGGTCCTTCTAAATAGATAACATATTTAAAAAACAACTCTTACCAGATGCAGGTTAATGGAAAATAAACTTAAATTAAATCCCTAAAGTTAGGGATTTACATATAGCTGGTTGGCACTGGAGGTAAAGGGAGAATCAATTGTGAGTTCCCATTTCACACTGAACTGAAGGAGTAGTTTAGTTTCTCTCTGACTGTTTGTTGCAGTACTTCCAGAGTAATAGGAAAGTACATTGATGAATTATCTAGGATTCCTATTACCTGTGTAATAGGAATCCTGGGGCTTAAATCCTGGGGATTTCAGTGTATTAGGGGCTTATGTCTTTTAGCTGGTCTTGGACTGCCTCTGATTTCCCAAAGCAGAGCTGGAGGAGGTGTCTATGGAGAGGAAAGTCTGGGAGTCTCTGCTGAGACTGCGGTCCAGGTCAAATGGAAGACGACAAATATAAAAATAGTCCCAAACATAAAGCCAAGGACACCTCTTATTAAAAGTATATCTGTGGAAATTGCTCAGTCAATAATCGTACTTATTTTTGTCTCATTTCAGGCTTAACGCTTATATTTATATGTGGATTAATAAATTATAAATTGGTTGCATGTGTAGATCACATGGGATGCTGTTGAAATAGTGTAAGAATTTTATGTCAATGGACCCATTATAATATGTAGAATAAGAACATAGAGGTGTTAAGCATTCTTTTTATTGTGGTTCAGCATATCAGTTCCAGCACGTTGTTCAGGAAGCAGCCAGCTCCCCAGCTGTTTTAGCAGTTGACTGCATTTGGAATGCCAAGGTAGTAAATATTCTGGGTGTGGACAAAGCATCTGCATAGCATGGATATAATTGGCAAAACATTTGAAGAACACTTATGCATGTTAAATCGTAACAGTGGAACATATATGGGACATATTTGGAGTCCCTGGGTTGCAGGGACATATGCCAAGATAATTTTTCCAACAAGTTCAAAAGGTTCATCAGGTCGATTTAGCAGAATATCACATCATGCTACAGTATGAGACACATACAAAATAACAATGCTAAATACTGTGGAATGATATTATGGAACACAAAATCCATATATAAAAAAACCTTTTTAACCAGTCAAGTGTGTGAGTGATTACAAAAAAGCATATATGTGTACTGTTAACCGATTTTAGCATCTATGCTACTAACATAAATATAAATATATATGTACAAAAAAAGTAACAGTGCAGCATCAATATCTTTAATCACTTTTATTATTCTTGAAAGGGCTTTCCTGGAGACATTGGTGTACCAGGCCCCAATGGCCCACCAGGACCAAAGGTAGTCACTCTTAGATGATTTGCAAATTTTAACATTAAGCTTGTACTTTTTAAACATTTGACTGTGTTTTAGGGTTTACAAGGTCCGAGAGGACCCCAAGGCCCGCCAGGCCCAAAAGGAGTACAGGTGAGATTATTCAGAACTCACTAGTTAATATACAGTTGTGCTTGAAAGTTTACATACCCTTCAGCTACAGAAAAATGAGCTGGCAGTAAAATAAATAAAAAGTAATATTAAATAAAAATAATAGAAAATGGAAATCGTCACATTGAATTTTAAACATGCCTAATGGAGATCCTGAACAAAAATGTTGTTGAAACAGGGAAAATCTTATCTTTGAGGCAATCACTGTAATCAGATGTGTCGGGGACAGTTTATTTTTTAGGATAATTATTTTAAAACAAAATTCAAAATCAATATTTTATTTTACTAAATTATCATTTAGTAAATTTCCATTTATTATTACTTTTTCAGTTTTGTGTTATTTGAATTACTGTGTGAAATTATCATTTTTGTTAATGGGAGGATATGTAAACTTTCAAGCGCAACTGTACATCAGGTCATATAGATATCTGCTGTGTTTCACTGGGAATGGAAAATACCGGCATGATTACACTAAAGCTAGATCAATTATTATGGTACCTGTCATATTGGAATTTGTCACCTCTTAAGTTGTAGCAGCTTACTGTAAATCTGAGTGGAAACATTTTTTCCACTGTAAGACCGCAGGGCATGTTCCACCAGGTGAGGTTTTGATTTTGAATTAGAACCAAACAAATGTAAGCTTCTTTTTTTTTTCCAGTCCTGGAAAAGTGAGCAGAAGCCTTTGGAAGGGTTATAGCACACACATATGCAAAAAAATGTTTTCTTTCTTTTTTTGCTGTGTGAAAAGCATTGTATTTCCGTACATTCACTAAGTTGTTGAGTTTGCCAACACCTGTCAAATTCAGATGTACGAGTTGTAACTAAATTGTAGGTATTCCCTTTCACTTCAGTGATGCTTTTCTACTTTGGTTTATTTAGAATTCCTTACCAGATTTACAAAATGTCCTGGAGGATTTTTCTTATACTGAGTTTGGCTCTTAGATCTTAATACATTTACTTATTGGAAACAGGGGATGACAACTTTATTCCTTGAGTTGGCATCAAGTCAGTGTGAATTACAGCATTTTATCATGTAACATTGTGTCATTTGAAACAAAAAAAGAACTAGTAATACCAGTTTTTTGTTTATTAAACCATAATCAGGAGTCAGATAAAGCATTATCAGATTATTTTTTTATACAAAATGAAAAAAAGAGATCATGAGTGCTATTGGCCTAACCCAGAAACTTATGAATATAAGCATATCCAGAGAGCATATCCATTTATGTCAAATAAATGGATATGCTGGCAAACAGGTCATCTTAGAGTGTTATAATGAGAGATATATAGGACACTGGCCCACCTTATCCAAAAAGACTCCAGATAAGGTTATTGGGCGAGCAACGGTTAACATGAAGATAAGTTGGTTAAAAAAAAGCTTACATCCAGGTTCAGCAAGCTGTTTGTAGCAAGAATAGAAACATATTTCTCAACATAATTTCTTAAAACCAAAAAAGTATACAAAAATATTTATTTTTGTTCTAAACAAAAAAATAAAACTGGCTCAATGTACACCGATGTCATTAGTACTGCAGATGTAATTATTTTCAATATTTTTAATAGTGGAGAATACAAGTGTTACAGGACATGTGTATTTCTTTATATTTTCTGAAATGCTTCTGTTCTTTAATTATAATAATGTCCAGAGCATAAGATTGCAGTTGAGGTACAGGAGGTAGGCTACCCAAATTACCTACCAAAGACTAGTCCTACCTTAATATGTTTTAACCCAAGTCACAGTAGAAGGTAGTCATTAAAGAAATGACTCAAAAAAGTGTAATTGTTTTATCATAACATCTGATTTCATTTTAATTTAAATTATGTAATCAGACAGACAACTGCAACTTCTTGTATTTTAAACACCAAAAGTAAGAATTACAAAATGCTAACTCACTTAAAGGGATAGTTCGGTATTTTTGACATGAATCTG